GCTTGTCCAAGTTGTTTATTCAACTTGCCAGAAGCAGGATTTTTCCAGTTGGACAATCTGACAGTCACTGTGCTAAAGAGGGGTCTATGTGTAAATCAGCAGCCCAGGTGTTTCCTGGAGGGAATAGTGAAGAGATCCAAAGAAAATTCACCCAACCAGGCCCTTGGCTCATGCGCTTGCCCTAGCTGCTGCTCGTACAGGCAGTTGCTGCTTGCTCATCCCGAAGTGTCTCTTGCCCGTGCTCTTGGCAGAGAAACTTGGACACATGCTTTCCTCAGTTTGCAGTGTGAGCCAAAAAGCCCTGTAAGAGTTTGGAGCATGGTTTCCCATGATGTGCTAGTTCATGTCTGTCATCTGTCCATCTTTCTTCAACTAGCTTTGTTTTCCCTTTGTTTTCCAGCAGAAGGGAAAGGAGAGCCCTTTATTAGATATGTGCTAGAAAACACTTCATAACAGAAGCATCTAGTAGAGTCTGCACCTTCCACTTCAAACGGGTTTTATTGCTTTGTGGTTTGTTTATTTTCTAGTTTCCATACTTACAACATACTGTTATCTACCATTTCTGCTCGCTTATTTAAAGTCTGATAAATATTATTGCTTATCTGAGTTGGAACTTTCTATGTAGAATCAAAATACAGCTTTGTTAAACCAAAACCCTCCTTGTTCAAACACTCTGGGGCAAAATATACCTTTTGTCATGACAAATGTTATTCAAATGACCAGTGTAATACTACAAAAAAGAGTTATAAAATGCCTACTTGCATTTTATGTCAAGGAAGTATATTACTGATGCCTCAAATAATTGTGCTAAATATCTTATGGTACACTTTCTAATTAATTTTAACAAGAATATATTAGCTTTTCAATGGCATTTAACTTTGTAAAACTGATTAAAATAGGTAACAGGCTTAAAAGATTAATATCATGCAAGTACAGGCAGTTTGTGTAGCATGATAAATGATTTGAAGGAAAATTATTTGCTAACCACTACAAATCAAATAACTTTTCTGTAGCTGTAATATTATTTGTGTCTGTCAGGCCTGTTTTACAACAGTAAATAATGGTTAAGCCTATTCTTGTTTTTACTAAGAATATATTTCCTGTCCAGGGTAGAGTTCAGATAATTTATTAAAAATCTGAAATGTGTTAATATTCTTGTGCCAGGGTAAGATCTTGGCCCTCTTGAACACAATAATAAAACTCCCACTGCCATTATGGATGCAAGCCTGGTGATAATTTTGTCTTCATTTCGTTATCCCTGGCATCAGACAAAATTGCATGCTCCACAGTGCTAATGCTTCAAATACAAAAATCAAAACTCTTGTCACCAGTTTAGAGCTCCACTTAGAGTGCAAGCTGTAGTCTTTCCTAGGCCAAATGTCTGTTGACTTCAGCAGGATGAAAACCAGAAGGCACCAGCTCTCCAAGATATGTTAAGGTTCATAAAAACAATGTCTTTTTTTCAAAGACTATACAGGCAATTTAGCCTCTAGTTATCATATATTAATAGTGCAACATAGAATTTCATGTTGTTTTTTTTTTAATGGAACTATTATATTCTGACTTAGGAGCTTGTAGAAAGGCTTAAATCAATATCACCTAAAAGCTATATGGCTGAATTCCTGCTTGCTTCAGACAGGGCACTTAGGGCAAGCCACACCAAATGAAGATCTGCTGCCTTCTTTCTCTTACATGCAGAATCTCCAAACCCACTGCAAAAATCACTGCTGTTGGTGATGACCTGGATTTTTGTGCAATCTTACTCTGAAAGCTGGTACAGGTGATTCATGCTTTCATGTGTTAAGCTGCCTATGAAAGGGCTGGGAACAAGTAGTCTGGTGCTCTACCAAAGAGTTCTTTAAAAAGGCCCACCTCTCAATAGGTGGACATTAAAAAATGAGAACAGTGTTCTATTTTTAAAATTAATGTTCAGTTCTCGAAAGCTTATCTATAGGAAAAGAAATATGAGCAGTTGGAGTAAAACTCAAGGAATTTCACTGAGGATAGTGCTAGTAAGCATGCAACTCTTATTTTTGCAGTACAATATATATCTTTTTCAGAATCATGAAGACCTCTGTAATGCTCTTAATGGGGGTTTGTCTCATGAGTAACTTTTTTGGCGAAAACCAAACTTTTTTACTATACAGACAACTCGAAAGCAAAGCAGTAAAAGATGGGTGTGAGATTGTGGAAGGCAAGGCCATGGAGCTGGATGCTCTTCTGCACAGAGGTGTGGTGCTTTCTGCTCGTTTTAAAGTACAGCTCACATCTTGCACTGCTCGAGTACAAGGAGCTTTTTGTTTGCACCAAAAAAAAATCTTCAGATGCTATCATGACAACATGTTCAGAATAAACACAGAAAAAATAGTTCTGCCTCCTTGGAGACTCAGCTTTAAGTTGGTTATTAAAGGAAATGAGGCTGCTGGGATCTCCGAGTAGGACTCCAGCTGGCTTTCGGAAGCCAAGCATGTGTGGCAGATGGTAGGGGCGTACAAGGTAGCCTATCCTGTGCACACCCATGTGAGTCCCAGGAATGGCAGGGGTGCTGTTCCACTGGGACAGCAAAAGGCTGGGTAAGTGCTGCACAAGTAGTACAAACCCTTAAATGAGATGTTTTAAAACATCTGTATTGCATTAGCATCATGGAGCCCTAGTGATAAACTAAACTGGATTACACTGGGCTTGAACAATCGGACAGCCCAAGAAGTGGGCAATGGCTACAAGGAGTTTTAACTGTGTAAACTGAAGTCACTGCTTTATGAACCTGGAAGTGCTGAAAGTAATTAAGAGAGTAAGCTAAACATTCAAGCTGGCGTCACTTTCAGTACGAAATCCCAGCTAACCAAAGGCCAAAACTGAACCACTACTAGGACTTTGTCTCAAATACTGTTCTGATTCACTTTGCTTGCCCTATAAGCTGCAGGCAGAACGTTCCTGGTCACTGGGATCTGTGTGGTGTAGCACTTCCCTGAAGGTGGTGACTGATTCCCACACCATAACCCCTCAGCTTTTGTGCCTGCAACAGTGACTGACAGCATGACTACTGAACACCCACATACAGGGAGATACAGCACTGTACATATGGTAGAGCACAGAAATAAGACCAAATGAGATTTAGTAAAAACGCATTTTTCAGAAGAGGATGGAGGATACAAATGGCAAGAAATTCTTTAGGGCTGAAAAAATTATTGCAACTGGTTAAGACAAAACCACCATATTTTCACTCTATTCTACTGCATAGGCATCTGCCATGTATGGTCAAAATTCCAGATTTTTCTTGTCTTAGATAGTACAAAGCAGGAACAGAAAAGAGGAGAGGAGACTGATGAACATCAACTCTTGGCAGCTGGCAAGTGATGACATAAAAAGCACTTATGGCAACCTCCAAGCATGGTTATTTTTAATCTATTTAAAAGAAAATCCTATTCAGAACAGAAGTAAGTTGTTGGCAGGAGCTAGTACATTAATTTGTCTATAAATGTAATGTTTGTAACTTGTGCATCACAAACTACTTTGGATATTTGGATGAAAAAGTCTAGCTGTTGGTGGTCTTTGTTACCAAGTTCAGCCTAATGGAGCTTTATGGATATAAGCAGCTCTGTGACCTGTTGCTAGTCTTATTTTTCTAGATCACAAGTAGGAAAATACAAAATAAGGTAGCCCCTCATAGACTCCTTAGTAGTTAAAACTGAATTGGATTTGACTTTTTTTTTCCTGTTGTAGTTAAAATATTGTTTGGTGTTGAAACCCTTCTTTTTGGGGATGGGAGGAGGTGCCAGCTGGGATAAAGGACATGCCCAAATTGGACAGCTTGGCAAAAAGACCTTTCTTGAAGATCTCATAATGTAACATGGTAACTTTCTGTTGGGATTTATGATCACTAGGATTGTTTCAGACATTCTCACTGTGCTTACTCGTGTCTGATGCAAGTTAAACAGCTTCCGAGAAGAAGTGCCTGTGACTTCCACCATGGGAAGCTGGAGGTCAAACAGGTCCCTTCTGCACTCGCTGTCAGTAATGGCCCAGCATCCATCACATGCCAGTGCGTGGCACCCTCAGCCTGCTCTGCTGAAGCCAGGTAACACCACTGTTGACCGAGGATGACTTGCAGACCTCATGTGCATGAGGAAGGGGGTGGCTTTGAGCCAACAGCAGTTCCCCACGGACCGGCAGTAGGATGCATGGCTGCATGCTGTGCCCCAAGAGCAAACCTACCTCCGGGTATGCTGGCTTTCACACAAGTTTATTGTCTCCACTTACTGTTTGTGCAGGACAGCCTTTAATTGTGGCTCACCACCAGTGGCTTGCTTTGTGCAGGGCACAGGAATGTGGAGATTTGGAAATGGCAGGAGAGTTTTATGTTTTTTTTTCTTCTGTCTCATCTCAGAACTATGCGGCTGCAGCAGCTAGACAAACAGCGTTATGGGTTTTGGTAACAAGTTAGGGCTTGAAAACAAAAGCGATGGGGCCCGAGGGCCTTGCATGCTGGCCGCTGAGAGGGACTCTCCCCTTCTGCACAAGGGCTAACTGCTGTGCTCCTGGAGCGATAGCAAAATACCCCTAATCAAACCCCCGAACTTCGCAGCCTCTGGATACAGAGCACAATGCATCTGCTCCGCGCCAGCGCTGCTCATTCAACCGGCTGTCGCGTCGCGGTTCAACTCTTCAGCGCGGCTCTCGCCCCTACCCGCGGCAGAGCGGAGCCCGGCGCCGGGCCGCACCCGTCCCGCTCCCGCGGTCTGTGTGTGCGGCAGCGGGCGCCGCTGGGATCACCGCGGGGCGGGCGGGCGAGGGGAGGTTTCTGCCTCTGATAGTGTCCGTCCTGCAGCGGGGCTCGCACGGGGCGGCAGGGACCGCGGGACAGCGGCGCTGTCGCTTCGGCGCTGAGCCTCGCACTGCCCCGGGGGCAGCGGGGGGTGTGTGCTGGGACCCCTTCCTTCCTTCCTGCAGTTGCCCCCGACCCGTCGCTCGCGGGGCCAGGCAGCAGCAGCCCCTCTTACCTGCGGGCGAGACCAGCTCGCCTTCGCTGAGCTCCGCGGAGTCCGAGTCCATGCTGCCGGAACCGGCGGGGCAGAAGCACCGAGGGGCGGCTCGGGGCGGGCGGAGTGCGGGCGGCCGCCGCTGGCAGGAGGAGTGCCCGCAGCCGGGGAGCGGGAGCCGGGAGCGAGCGGAGAGCAGAGCCGGCTGCCGCCTCCTCCTCTCGCAGCCCGGGCGCTGGGTCCGCGCCACCACATGCAGCCACCTCGCTTAGTGCCATTGGCTGCAAAGGAGGAGCGGAGACGGGCGGGCTCCGGCGAGGGGAGGAGGGATCGGGGGCGCGGCGAGGAGCGGGTTCTTCCCCGAGCCTGTTACACAAGTTCTCGGAGCCGTCGGTATCGGCCCGCCCGCCTCGGCTGAGCGGGACACGGGGCCGCGGGTTGCCGGCGGTGGCTGGGGGGACGGCCGGACCATCGCCAAGGGCGCTCCTCAGACAGGACTCAGGCGACCGACATGACAGTGCTTTACATTTGCTGCCATCGCATCCCCATTTATTTTGTCTTGTGGGCATCTTCGGTGACCTCCAGTCGTCGCCTTGCCACTTTTCACCAGCGCCCTCCCCTTAATGATCAGTGGCCACAAAAATTAGTCGTTAGAACAGCGGAGGGAAGAGTCAGTTCCCACTCGATATTGGTGTCCAAAAGAATACTGAAGGAGTGAGTTCTGCTGCTGCCTGTTTGCACATTATTCACAAGCTCAGGGTGATAGTGTAATAGTTGGTAAATGAGGCCGTGTTGGAAGATCGTTTTGAACTCTGAGTCTGAAAACTTTATAGCTTGAATGCAAAGCAGGCTTTTCTTGTGTCCTCCTACAAGCTACTACAGTCATGAGCTATCCCTAATTCACCTGTTTGAGGCCATTTGTTGAGCTCTGAGGTTAGGTAGATCTTTCTTTCCCTTTGCATTTATTACTTTCTATTTTTTCCTGCTGTTATAGGCCAAAGATCACTTGAACTTTTAAACAGAAATGCCAGAAAGGTTGCAGTAAGAGTACTTTTCTAATGGGGACCCAAATGTCATCCCAAACCAGACCTCATAATCTGACTGATCCATTCCTAAAAGCCAGCCAGTACCTGAAACACTTAACTGCAGGTAGCTGCAATCTCGAGCCAGAGCCTTATGCTTGTAGCTGCAGACCACAAATATCTCTTTCTTCGCTCTGTACCTCTCTCCCCCAAAACCACACAGGTCCTTATTACTGGAAAAAGCAATGCCTGGACATTGCTTTGAAGCTGCCTGTTTGCAGTTATTGTCATCAGGCTATGTCCAACACTCTCAACAAATGTAAAGACTTTCTCCATTAGCATATAGTGTGGCATCTAAAAAAGGTAAGAAGGGTTCTTTTTCAACTCAGTGGGTCCTGTCAAATTTTTGTCAGTGATGGCTTATCCTGTGCAATATTGAGTATAAGAACTAAAACTACAGTAGTAAAATGAAGCCAGAGTTTGCCTTATGTTCTAGGGCGAATCGTAGCATATGCCCCTGCCTTCAAATCAGGTTGAGCCTGAAGAGATAGAAGACCTCAAGCTTTCTGGCCCTGGAATACTCGCATTTGTATGCTGAATCGGAACACAAAACTCTTCAACCTCTGGAATGAAGTTAGTTATTTGTAATGTTGCTGTCATACCCTAGGCCTGTACTAAGGCACTTTTGGTTTTTAGTCTATGAAAACAAATTCTGACTTTTGTTTTTAATTGCTTTCATTAAATTTAAAATGACGTTCCAACTGCTGCTGATTATAACCCCATAAATTAGTATCATCTAACGAAAAACATCTAAACTAAAGTGATTTTAGGATTCTGTTATGAGGAGCCAGTGCAAAATCTAGAGTAGATGTGTGGAATCTACAAGCAATGTAGCTACAGAAAAATGCAAATATTAAGTTACAAAAAGTAATCCTAGCTACCACACCAAGGATGGAATCTGACAGTGGGAAAGGGTTTAGTCTGTCATTCTTGTTTTCTTTTCACCAGCAGAAATGCAACCTAAAAATCTCCCTAATAGGAGAAGAGTTTGTCTAATGGGAAGAGAAAGTTGTATTTGAGGTGCAAATTTTTTGCACTGTTTTTAATCACTTGAAATTAGAATTTCTAACCTGGACAAGTTCTGCCTTGCTAAGGATAATGCCTGTAATTAGATAAGCAAAAACCAAAGTGTTTTTTGCAGGGACTTGTGGACGGTGGAATCTTTCCTGCTCCCTCAGCAGCAAAGGGTACAGTATATTCTGGGTCATGATACAATGCAGCTGTGTATATGCTTCCAAGGTATTCTAGGATCATAGACTCATAGAGTGATCTTGGTTGGAAGGGACCTTAAAGATCGAGTTCCAACCTCCAGTTGGAACTGGTCTAGTTTTCTGTGTGAGCTCTTTTCCTGAGTGTATAACCCATGCTACAATTGCAATTAAACGTTAAACTCTCAACAGTCACACTTCTCTGCACTGATTATAGTTCAGTTGGTAAAAGGACACATTATTTTCCCTGATCCTCTGAAAGACAGAATTCTTGGCATGGAATAGTTTAAACGAAAACTGAGTCCCACTTATTTTAATTCTTGTCTCTTTTCTTTACCCTTGTATTACCACAGTAATAATATATGATGGTAGAAACGGTGTAACTCAATCAGTATTGTATTGTGTCAGAGTTGTGATATATACATACATGGAGCATTCTTACTAGTATGCTGTAATTACTTTCTATTCCACAGTAAATGCTGTTTCAAGATTACTTTCCCTCTTTATTGCTGCTAACTGTAAAGCAGTCATTAAAGTTTTCAGCTGTCACAGAATGAGCATATTGTTTCATTTCAAAACATATGGTTAGAATTCAGTTTTTCTCCTTCCTAATGTTCTCTGCCCAGCAGAGTCTAGCACTTGGTTTAACATGTGACCTGGAAAATTCCATACGTGTACAGTTCTGAACTACATAGTTTCCACTCATTACAGTACTGGTGCAAAGAAAAGCACAAAAGGTTTATTAACAGTAATGTACGTACTAGCTAGATGCATGTTAAGTGAGACTCCACATGGAGAAGTTGACATGTCATAACTTATGTTTTTAATTCAGTACAAATATTGCAATTAGGTGTTCGTTGTTATAATCTAAAGTTCTGTTTCTCTGGGTTTGTGACTGTTTTCCTTATTACTAGGATAGACCTAAAGTTTGTTGGGATATTTAGACACTGGAATGTTTTTTTCTCAAGGCTCAGTTAATACATTTGCCTGCAAGTCTCTACAAATATGACTTACGAGGGGAGCTGGCAACCCAGCCGACTGGAACTGTTGCATGTATTCCCAGTTATATGATGCTGTCTATCCTGTAGTGGCTACATCACTGTATGGCTCCTCTGTTCACATTTTGGCTGCATCTGGTCTTGATCTTCATTCCATATGTAACTTATCTGAAATCCTCTACCCGCTCATTGTATCTGAGCACTGGAGATCTGCCTGGGAGAGTTTCTAGGATTCATGCTTTTTCACTATTCTAGATATAAATCATACTTGAATGTTCACACAAATACGATTTCATTGTATTCTAAGTAAGTAGGCCAACTACCATAGAATCTATGTCTAATATGTTTATCTTTACAGGACTATTGTGAACTAAGATAATAGTATTTCTCACTTTCCGAGAAAGGGAACTAAGGTACTGAGAAGCTGTGATTTCAAGTCCAACACAGAGCACAGACATTCACCTGTATCTCGAGCTGTACCTGAACTCTTAGGTTATACTTTCTGCCAATTAAAAGATTGGTGAGCTGCCTCTGTGCTTTGCTACTCAAGCTTTCCCCCTTCAAACTGAGCCTTAAGGCTTATTCTAGGAAGCAGTGTCTCTTTTCTTTCCATTATCAAACATACCAGAACCCACTCTGCACTACCACCTTTTTGTTTGCCTTGCCTGGTTTAGACTGTAAGAACATGTCGATAGGATTATATTTTCTTTCTGATTCCAAATGTAAAAATGTAGGATAATATATTTTTCCTCACAATTTAACATGAAGGTGTGCTCTAGGATATACTATTTTTAGTATCGTTGCCTAATGTTTTGCTTTGCAGTTTATGATAGTATATCTTTCATATTCAAGCACCGCTGCTACTGATTGTATTAAACGGAGAAGCATCTCTCCATGCTGATTCACTTTCGGGATAGCGTGGTTAATCGGTATCAAGGATCACTAGATTCTCTGATAACAACTTTGTTGTGCCAGGAGCCGAGATTCTTACTGGTGTCTCTAAGATAGTCGGCATGTGCATTTTGCATATGTTTTTTAATAGATTTTAGTTGAAATAACGCACCTATTGGTATTCTGCAAACACTCTTCATATTTGATTTAGAATTCAAACAATGAGCAAGATGTCTGAATTACTTTAATTCCTACTCATGTGCCAGCATTGAAGAGTGCAGTATTTTCTGGCTCCAGGTGTTCTAGCTCCCTGCCATAGTATAGGCATATATCTAGCCACTAGACTTGCTGAATTATGTTCTGCCTTTTTATAATGTTGACTTTTCTTCAAGAAGAGCTGAGGAAGCAGTCACAGACTGAGACTGCAGCCTGGTACTGGTGCTAACCTGTGCTGTGATGTTTTTGGAATACCGGATTTAAAGCTAGGACTGAAATTTAGCTGTGCTTGCTTCAGTGCCTTGTTCGGTGCTCTTAGATACTTTAGTCCCCTATGAAATAAAGTGGAAAAGAAAAATATTGTACTCCTCTGCAACTTAAATCCTGCTGAACTCCTTACTCTTGGTAGGTTATCAGAAAGCATAATTTTGTCAAAAATAATATTTTCATCTGTTTAAGTAGGCTAGGACTGCAGGTTGACTGTCCCAGGTAAAGTTTAATAACAGTAAGCAGTTGGTCTGATCTGATTTCTGACTGCTTATACTAAGAAAGGAAGAAGAAACAATAAATATCTTTGAGCTGATGCAACACTGAACAAAGGCAGCAACTTTTAAAGAAGGACTAGTTAAACTGGTAGGCAAGCTTGCTGACATCTATGCATATTAACATAGGAAAATAGCACAGCTGGAGTAGTGCATACTTCTTGTGTGGCATGCTTGGTTTTGTACATTGGGTTTTTTCCTAAAGTAGTAACTTTATACAAACAGGCTCCTACAGGAATTGAATGGCATAAACGTTCATGTCCACTTTTTGACCATGACAATGTTGTTACTTTTCTGTTCCCTTAGAGTAGGATTTGGCTCATAGAACAAGGTTTTCTATGTTAAGCTGTATTT